CAATCAACATTGAGTTTACCAAGGTACAGTCGCTTCAACAGCCATTCAATACCTTTTCATTGCCTTTTTAGAAACATTGCCAGCAGATGTAATATGGCCCTAGTGAGACTCGTTATTACTTACCGTCAGGGGACAGCGTAGAAAAGGCAGTTTTGGCAATTAGCAATCAGATCTGAGATTTATTGAAATAGGGAGAATTCAACGGCCATACTGACTCAATTACAGTGCAAAAACCTAAACAGTAACATAAGATGAAAGAACTTTTCAGCAAGCACCTTTTCTTTGCCGGTAGTGGCAAACACAATTAGCCTCTCTTCCGTTCTCACAGTGCATTCAACAATTTAAAAAATGATTTAATTTGATTGCAATTCAATTTACAACCGCCAGTCTCTGGTTTTTAGAGGGAGGGGAGTGAGAACTGCCTGAGTGCAAAGGCTGCCAGCAATGANGTGCAAAAACCTAAACAGTAACATAAGATGAAAGAACTTTTCAGCAAGCACCTTTTCTTTGCCGGTAGTGGCAAACACAATTAGCCTCTCTTCCGTTCTCACAGTGCATTCAACAATTTAAAAAATGATTTAATTTGATTGCAATTCAATTTACAACCGCCAGTCTCTGGTTTTTAGAGGGAGGGGAGTGAGAACTGCCTGAGTGCAAAGGCTGCCAGCAATGAAGCTGAGCTGAGCGCTTACCAATTACCGAATCCATTTGTGATCGATCCGTGAAAGGCGCAAGCACTTTTGAAAGTGAACTCACAGAAAGAGAAGGTGTACAGACTTTTCCCTTTCAGTTCTCGACCGGACGGAGGCTTTTCTTCACTTTCATGTAGTAAATCAATTTATTCGATTAAATCTAGAGTGTGCTAATATTCAAATGAGAGAAAAGTGCTGCTAGTGGTGCTGGTGCTGAAATTCTGCAGAACTAAACCCAAACACATTCGTAATTCACACGTTGCACGCGTTCAACACAACAGGCAGCACTCAACACAGAGACTCAGCTAGAACTAGTCCATTAGTCAGATTCGACAGAGAAATACCCTCAAAGTGCTGTTGCTGGTAGAGAGGAAAAAAAGCGAATCAACAGCAGCGCACACTTTGCACCACTTTTTTCCATTCTGACGGCAAATCTAATTTGCGCTCTTTTTCCTTTTCTTTTTCATTTTTATTTACCTTTCTCTCAACAAATATTTTTTCTTTCAATCTCACACACACAGATTTGCCAAAAACTAGGCTGGAAGGGAACCGGCTCTCGGTGGGACATTCTGCCCATAGTGGTCTCTACTCCTGGAGAAGACCCTCAACTGTTCCCCCTACCGGAGGACCTGGTGATTCGCATCCCCATCGTCCACCCACGCTACGAGTGGTTCGAAACGGTGCTGCAGCTGCAGTGGTACGCCCTGCCTGCCGTCAGCTCGATGAAGTTCGACGTCGGTGGCATCGAATTTCCCGCCTGTCCCTTCAGCGGCTGGTACATGGACACCGAGGTGGCGGTGAGGGACCTCTGCGACCCCCACCGCTACAACGTCCTCCCCCTGGTGGCCGCCCACATGGGCCTGGACACCGCCTCCAATGCGACCCTGTGGAAGGACCGAGCGGCCGTCGAGGTGACCGCCGCCGTCCTCTACAGTTACCAGCGCGCCAATGTGACCATCGTCGACCATTACACCGCCGCCGAGTCCTTCATGAAGCACCTGGAGAATGAAAACCGCCTCCGCGGGGGCTGCCCCGCCGACTGGGTGTGGATCGTGCCGCCCATCAGCGGCTCGCTGACGCCCGTCTTCCACCAGGAAATGCTCAACTACGAGCTGAAACCCGCCTACAAGTACCAGGACCCGCCCTGGAAGACCCATGTCTGGAAGAACAGTACACTGGATGGAGCGGGTGGTGGGCGGAATTCAATTGGCGGGACGCCCCGCAAGCTGCGCTTCAAAGAAATCGCCAAGGCGGTCAAGTTCACCTCGAACCTTTTTGGTAAGAGCTCTTTGATTAAAAAAATATTGGTAAATTTTAACCCAATTTTCACCACAGGCAAAGCGCTGAGCAAGCGCATCAAGGCGACCATCCTCTACGCCACCGAAACCGGCCGCTCAGAACTCTTTGCCAAGCGGCTGGGGCAAATCTTTTCGCACGCCTTCAATGTCTCGGTTAGGACAAAAAGTCACAATAGTTTACAAATCGAACAACTAACAAAATCACCCTCTCTCTTAAATCAGGTAAACTGCATGGACGCCTACGACACGCTGCACCTGGAGCACGAAACCCTACTGCTGATCGTGACGAGCACCTTCGGCAATGGCGACCCGCCGGAAAACGGCGAATCGCTCGCCAAGCAGCTGCAGGCCATTCGCCTCACCGGCGAGGTGGCCCACGACCTGGACCGCGATTCGATCAGCGTCCCCGTCACCTACCACTACTCGGTGGATCAGCCCAGTTCGGCGGACATTGGTGGAATTAGTGGTAATGTGGGCAGCAGCTTGGGCAGCTCCCTGCCCGGAAGCGCCAAATCAACTGCCTCAGACGGAGGAGGAGGCCTCAATCAAAGCAGCAAAAATGCGTACGAGCTCAGCATTGATGAGCGGCGCACCACCGGACCGAACAGTCCGACGCCGACGCTGGAGGACAGCTTCGCCTTTGCCGACCACGTCGGACCGCTGAGCAATATTCGGTAAGTGTTTTTCCTCTTTTCGTTTTGCTGTTGTTATCTGTTTAGAGTAGAAAGATCACTCTTCATTCTTATGTGTGTGTGTGCGATCGTGTGATTGTGTGCGTGAAGATGTTCCCTCTTTTCTTTGTCTTCTCTCTCTCTCTCTCTCTNTTTGTCTTCTCTCTCTCTCTCTCTCTCTCTCTCTCTCTCTCTCTCTCTCTCTTTCTCTCTCTCTCTCTTTCTCTACTGTTCTCTCCTTCAATCTCTTCACTGTGTGAACGCAAAAAGAATCTCTCTCTCTTTCTCCATTTTCTCTGGCAACAAAACAAAAAGAATCCAAGGTCGTGCGGTGAAAAG